TTTTTTAAAATATTCATTCATTCAAAGTAGGTTTTTTTTGTGTGTGTGTGTTCTGTTGATTGTTTGGAAATTCCTTATAAGATCCTTTGGAACAACATAGAAAAATTGATTCTGGAGAAAATATTCCAAAGCTCTTTATAAAAAGCAGTGCCCTCAATTTGAGATACATTTGGTGAAGGAAAATAGTACCCTGGAGGAGTTCTGTTAGTTTTTCCAGTTGTGCAAGCAGTAGTGCATTTGTTCTCATGGTCCATAGGCACACTACTGCTTAAGCAGCTTGATTGTACAACCGGTTGCACAAATGGAGACTGGATTCAATTCTGCTTTGTCACGTGGTTTAGAACTAAAAAGTGTGCTCCTTACAGTATATGCCACCCCATAGCACTTCAAGCACTTAACTCTGGGCAGTTTACAAGTTAATTATGCAGGCTACACATTCTCCCCCTCACCACCACCCCCGTGAGTTGGATATTTATTTTATCAACCTCGGAAGGATAGAAGGCTGAGTTAACCTTGAGCCGGCTACCCGGGATTGAACCCTGTGTCATGAGCACAGTTTTGGTTGCAGTACAACAGTTTAACCACTGCATCATGAGATTCAGCTAAGTGTAAGCACCATATAACTTTGAATGATACTGTTGGATATAGTCTAATAAAAAGCAGACCAAAGGATGGGGATTAACTTTGTGTTGGATGAGGTTAACGCTGTCCCGAAAGATTCACTCCTGCACATCCAATTGCACATGCAATTAATATAGAAATAGCATTAAAGCTAGTTAGCCAACGGCACCCATTCATAGAGAGGTCTGGCCTGGCCATGGTGATGCATGTCTTCTTTATGTCCCATTCGGATTACTCTTAAGATGCTTTGAGTGGGGGAACTTCGAAAGTTCTCAGAAACTTCAGCTGTTCCAAAGAGGTGTAACTGTTAACAGAGAACACACAAAATTCTTGTACAACAGTTTCGGTGGCTACCAGTTGGTTTCTGGGCAAACAACAAAGTGCAGGTTATGACCTATAACACCCTGTAGGGCTAGGGTCTAGACTTGTCTACAGGACACATTTATCCATATGAGCCTGATTGGGCTCTCCAAGAGAGGCCTTTCACATGGCCCTGCTAGTGTCACAGGCATGTGTGGCAGGTACATGTCAGAGGACCTTTTCAGTGGCTGCTCTCTGTAGCGCTGCATGCCAAAGAATTCTAGCTTGGCTCCCTTCCTGTTGTACTTCCACTGGTAGGGCCATGCCTTTTTATTCAAGTACACTTTGGGCAACTGACTATGGGGACTGAGGCATTTGACAGGATGGTGCTCTGAATTTTGCCATTTTATTTTAAAACACTTAAACTCATTGAAATTGTAATACTGTAATCCTTCCACTATGTCTTAATGTTATTGTTTTTGGTTTGTTTGTATCTGTACTTGCTTTTCTCTCCTATAACTATACCTACTTTAATTTTGAAAAATACCAGTCTACCAAAAAACAAAACAAAACAAAACAAAAACGGTGGAGGCTACAACTTAAAGGAAAATGGCTAGAGTCCTATTGGGATTTTACACTGGAATAAGTGAAATTGCGTATGTTGTTGCAGAAAATTGTACCTGATTGACAAGATGCTGATCACAGACCAGTTCTGCAACTAGGCATGGGGTCCCATACACAGTCACCACATTACACCATGGGTGGGTGGGTTTTAATTGTTGTAAATGACCCAGAGTAGTGGATGAGCAAACAGGTGTTCTACAGTTTGGCACCTCACTCCCTCCAGTGGGCGCCACTTAGAGGCAGCACCTGGAGGAGGTGGGACAGGGAAGCTGTGGCGTTGCTTCCAAGGGGGCGCCTGTTGGAGGAGACAGGGCACCAAACCATGCAGCCATCTACCGAACCGGCATGAACCACCAAAGTGACAGTTTGTCCCTATCTGTACTCACCACTTGATGGGTGGGATATAAGTGCAATTGGTAAATAAATTGTTAATTAGTTGCAATTTGCTGCCACATTTTTCATGATTTCACATACTCCAAAGTAAAATTCCACAAGAAGTCTGGCCACTAATTAACATCTTATATATAAATATGTGCAGTAGTTGGGAAGTTATGTTACCGTATTTTTCGCTCCATAAAACGCACCTCTCCATAAGACGCACCAAATTTTTAGGCAAAAGAAAACAGGGAAAAATAATCTGTTTTCTTCGCTCCATAAGACGCACAGACTTTCCACCCCCCTGTTTTGTGGAAAAAAAGTGTGTCTTATAGTGCAAAAAATACGGTATCTCAATATGTGTGTACCATGAATGAATGAATGACTATAAATATTTAGCAGAAAACAAATTGATTTTGAGTAGGCTTTGACCAACAATTGCTCGGCAGTTTAGGTATCTGGCTGAGGAACCAAAGGCTGGAAGTTTCATTCTCCAATGTGCCGCCATGACTCATTTTATTGATTTATAGGGAAATGTAAAATATATTCTGTAGTTTGGAGTTGACTAGATCACTCAGAGGTTTAGGTATCTAGCTGCAAAGCCAGAGATTGGGAATCATTTCCCCATTGTGTCTCCTGGGAGATGAGCCAAGCCTCTCTAGCCTTGGGCAAGCTGCACAGTCCGAGGGTGCCACCCCAGAAAGGGAATGGCAAACCACTTCTCTGTATTCTCTATCTGGAAAACCCTGGAAAGGGTTTCCTTAAGTCAGAATTTACTTGGCAGCACATCATCATCATCATAGTTTAGGAAAAATGATCCTAAACTCATTTGAATGAAACAGTCATATATAGTAACTGATAGTAACAAAGAAAAAAGTGTGGGCTGTAGAGATTGAGAGATATTTATTTTAATTTTTATTTGAGTCATATCCCATGTTTCTCCCAGAACATAAGCCCAGAGTAGATCACAAGATAAAAATTAAAAACAAATACCGAGAAAAATATATATGAGGTTGTTATTATAAAATACAATAGCTATTTATAGTTAAATAGTAAACTGTCAATAATATTAGAACACTATAGCATTAAAAATAGTTTAAAACACATCCATGAAAAACAGCATAACTCAGATCTGTTACAGACCATCAGTTCAGGTTGAGCTGAAAGCAAAGCAACAATTCTACACTCTGCTTTTATTTATTTGAAATTGAGGACACACTATTGGCTATTGTATTTAAAAGCTGTTTTCCAAAATACAAGTGTCTTGTGGATTTTGTATTGCTAGAGGGCAACATATAGCAGTTTCACTTCTCATTGCATTTTATCATCTTGAGAAAAGCCAATTATCTGTCTTGCAAATTGCATTGAAAAGGATCTTTAGACAGCACTCTGAAGACTCTGCAAGACATATGTAACTTAAGTTCACATACCTGACTGTTCTTTTTTTAAAAGAAAATGTTTTATGCAGTGATGTAGTAGATGTCTCGTTAGAGTGAGCTTAAGTTTGTAAAAAACAAACAAACCTTAACTTATATTTGGCAACAGTTCTTTTGTGCAGTCGGGAAAGAATGAACTTCATAATGAACTGGAGTATCTTAAATTTGCCTGGCCTGCCTAGGGAAGACAGAGACTGCTAGACCTCATACTATCTCTTAGTTAAGCTCTAGACCCTACCCTAATTCTTATGGTCATCGTAACCTTAGCCCTCAGCAATGGTGCTTCAAACATAACTGGAGGCTCACCTTTCTTTTTCTTTTTTCTTTTTCTTTTTTTTCTTTTTTTGCAAGAGGGTAGTATGGACCAAATTTCTTGGCTTACCTGGCCTTCTTAAAAACAAGGACCTAGCACGAAAGGCACATTTACACATAGCATAAAGTAGTAGTTTAGTGCAATGTGGAAAAGCAGGAATTATAAATGCAGCAAGCTTTGGGTTTTTGTGCTCACATTGGTGGAAGGCGGATGATAGATCGTGTGCTTCTATGAAAGGAAGAGAGAATGTGTGAACCAGAGCTTCCTAAAGCTCATTCTTGTTCATTCATGCCATGCTGTACAGTGGTTTAGTACAATGAGTGAACGCAGCTGCAGAAAATGAGCATGTCTGGAGGAAACACAAGGTCAAAACCTTGTTGTTGCTTTTTACTGAGAGGTTATTTAGTTGTAAATCCAAACCAATAGTTTGAAGAGGTTCAATTTAAACCAGGTGTGGTTCAAGTGCACTCACTATACTCTCTCTTTAAGCTGCTTGTCTGTCCCCCTCCATTCACACACTCTTCACCCCTCATACTCCACCAAAAAAGGCAAATTAAACCCCCAGAAGACCTGGAGGTAAGCAATTTGATATTTAAATATTATTTCTCTTGGACCTGTTTTAGTCCAGAAAAGGCCCTTTTCAGAAACTGAGATCTGGGGAGGACAAAAATATGCCCATCCCCACCTCTAGGCTTTTAGCAGTGCTCAGACCTGGTTTAAAGACAAGTTTACTACTGCATTGAGATCTCAACTTCAAGAAAGAAGCTAATGGGTTTTCATAAATGTTACAGTACTGCATATTTTCTTTTCAACCTATACCCAGATCAAAAGGTAGCTGAAAACAAACGCTGAATAAATAGGACAAAAGCTGACAAGCTTCTTAATATTTTATTAAGTGTTTATTAACTTGATAATTTTGGCTTCCTCTTTCCTCCTCAGATGTAGGTACAAGAAACCACAGGCATCTCTGTGCCGTATATTACAACAAGAACCCTGGCTTTGAAGTAATCCATGGATTGCTAGATAGAGTCATGCAACTTCTGGATGTCCTACCTAGTAAAAAGAATGGATATTACATCAAAGCAACTGAAGGTAAGAAGGGCTTAGAAAATGCATGCAGCCTTATTTGTATATATAAGACCAAAACATAAAGCCTTTTTCTAATTCATTTCTAGATATTGGTCTTCCTGGTTAGATTATTAACTGCCTCACTTGCAGAGCCTTTTAAACAAATTCTGTGATTGCTCCGCTTGCTTCTCACATGGTGACATCCCTTTGCACTGTGACACAATCTGAGGACTCACAAAGATTCCATTCCTGTTAATGTTGTTCTTAAGTGGAAATATGATTAAGATCTGTTCTGCACAGATGGGAGAGTGGGAATTAGTTTTTGTATCTTGCTAAGGGCACCTACTTGGAGATATGATATGGGCACTAAGTAGTGCAAGCTTATGTGTGGGAATGTTCTTGTTCATTTCAATCAAATGCATCCTCTGAAGTTCCCCTCCAGAAGGTTGGTGGACTCTCCTGAACAGTGAAGAAAAGAGTACGGGGTGCCTTTGAGGGAGGGGTGAATGAGCCAAACAAATCATGGTGGAGGCACCGTTTTTTAAGAAAGAAGTGGGAAACAGCAAAAGTTCCAGGAAATACATGTGCCGCATTGTCTGCTACCCCACAGATCCCTGTGGACACTTGGGCTTTCTCAGGAAACGAGTACAGTGACTGGACATTCACTTCTGTTTTTCAAGCAGTGTTATTGATACTGAGGGGAAAAGGTGAGGCCTCCATCCATACCATTTAATAGGATAATCATGCCTTCTTGGAGGTATGGTTATGTATTCTGTCCCCCCACCCCCTTCTTGGTATAGTAATTGATACCCAGAGACACCACACAAATGGCTTTGGTAAGCTACATGTGATCCATAGATGTCTGTTCTTGAGCTTCCTTATCTTTGCATAATTGAAAAACCAAAGATGTGTATTGTTCAATTGATGGATGAAGGAAAGACTTTGCCTTCTATTTTCTATGCACTGATGGCTCAGTGCATTTTCTTTAGATTAATGTATTATACTGGGAATATACAATACATATAACTTCTATTGTTTTGAAAGAGAGTGCTAAAAACATAGCTGTGTGGTTATCAAGCAAGCAGTAAAATTGTGCCATAAATCAATGTAAAGGTGTATCTGCCAAAGTCCATGTTGTAAGTTTGTGTCACATTTCTCACACTGGTTTGGGAAACTGGAGCCTAAAATTTCACATTCTGAATGTAAAATTCTTGCTAAGATCTTTATAATGATCTGACTTGTTTTAGAATGTTGATAATTTATGGGGTCTGTTTATTGTGTATGTTCATTCTCTTTCAATATGTGCAAGCCATAGTTATTAGATCACCATCTATTCAAGTAATTCCTGAATATCCATTAAGTTAATCTCAAGGCCGTAACCTTTTTTGGTCTTGTAAGCAACACCTGTGCAGCAGTTGCAGATGCTTGAAAATATAAGTAAAATTGTAATGTTTCCCAGCCTTCACATTAGTGTTTTGTGTAATTTAAGCTCAGTGGTATATTAAGGAAGAAATTTAGCCCTGAATGATGAAACACATTAAGACAAGGTCCTGCTCATTTCTGAACTTGCATTCTGGGATAACCTGAAATATTCCCCACCTAATAGCTAATTAAATCATTAATATGTTTTTCCATCTTAGCAGCCTTTTCAGAAATCCATTCTCAAGTTGGGCCTGGACTGGGTTAATCACATTTTGGGAGAAATGTGGCATATAAATAAAATTAATAATAATAATAGTCCCACTGAAATCAGTGGCACAAGCTGGTTTTTATTACTAATTTAACTGTCACTGATTTAAGTAGGACTCAGTCTGAATCCAACGTTGAAAAGTTAAGATTCTATTTTATATACCAGCTTAACATTCAGAGTTCTTTGCATGGACCAGATAATAAAATACTTAGGGGTTCGAAGAGATGACTACTGCATGCAACAAGCCCATTTCCAGGTGTATCCTATATCCGAGAAAATGTACACATTAGTCCTGCCACTTTCTAGACCAGTGGTTCTCAAACTGTGGTTCCCAGACGTTCTTGGACTGCATTTCTTGGAAGCCTTCACCACTTGCTGTGGTGGCCAGGATTTTAGGGAGCTGCAGTTCAAGAACATCTGGGGATGGCCCCAATTTGAGAACCACTGTTCTAGATCAAGAGGACAGTCTGTGGTGCCACCCTTCCACTAAAGCTAAGCAGGTCAAGCCCTCTAAGCTGGCTGAGTAGAACAACACCCTGGAACCATATATAACCTGCTAAACAACACTGAAGATGACTAAGACTAGTATTAGGATTAAATGACATGAGTAAATGTATCTTCTACTGAACTTCATAGGCAAGTACTTGCTCAGAGCAGACAACTCCCTGCCCCCTCAGATTGAAATGATTTCTGACTGGTGGGAACAGTCTCTGCCAGAGATCTTAAAGAGGGCTAATGATACTGGATGAAAGTAATGAATAGTCAGACCTGTATACACAAGGCAGGTATTTGTGTGCATGTATATGATGAATATATATGTATACAGTGGCGCCTCGCACAACGAGCGCCCTGTAGAGCGATGAATTCGCTCTACGGGGATGTTTTTTCGATCGCTAATGCGATCACAGAGCGACGGCCCCAATGGGCGAAAATCGCAGAGCGAAGGTTGGTAAGCGGTTCGCTTACTGATCTTCGCTTTGCGACCCGCTGATCAGCTGTTCTGCTGCTTCAAAATGGCCACCGGAACAGCCGAAAGGGCCGGGCGCAGCGTTTTCGCGCCCTTGGTAAGCAAGGGGAGAAGCGAGGGGGGGGCGCGAAAATGGCTGCCGGCCATAGGGAAGCATCGCTGAACGGTGAGTATTCGGCCCAATTGGAACGCATTAAACCATGTTTAATGCGTTCCAATGGCTTTTCCTGCCCCGTTCAACGATGCTTTCACTCAGCGAGGGTTAATCCAGAACGGATTAACCTCGCTGTGCGAGGCACCACTGTATGTGTGTGCAAGTTTGTGTGCATGAATTGAATATTTGTGTTTTAGTTTTTAAAGCAGGAAAGAGGAGCAAACGGACCCAAACACCCATTTCACAAGTCATGTCCCATTCCTTCTTTTCTCCACTACAGCTATAAAAGGGTAATGGGAGCATCTGCTTCTGCTTCTAAGCAGAGCCCTCTTATGTCTGAAATCTGGGAAACACTAGTTGGTTTAAACAAACACAAAATCCATATGATTGTTGTGGGGTTTTTGGACTCTTTGGCCATGTTCTGAAGGTTGTTCTTCCTAATGTTTCGCCAGTCTCTGTGCCCGGCATCTTCAGAGGACAGGAGTAGTAAAAGCCTTCACGAATACAAAATCCATATTTTATAATCTTGACTGGCTTCAGAAGTGGGCAACTTGGGGGCCTCCAGATGATGTTGGTATTCATCTCCTGTCTGCCTTAGTCAGGATGTCCTCTACTGAAGAATGCTGGGAGGTGCATTTCAGTAACATCTGGAGAATGACAATGTACCCACCTCTGATCAAACTAAGTAAAGATCCTTTGTTTTCAAGTCCAGACATGGAAAGCAACTTTGGTTTAAAACTTGCTTATCTGTCACTGGAAATATTCCTGTAAGATAAGTTATTTCTATTTTAGTAAGTACAGTATCTTTAAATATAATGCATATTCAAAGGACAGAAAGTCTCGAAACACAGAAAAGGTAGTCTCAACATTAGCACAGCATTGGATTTAGAACTTTAAGGGTGCCTCCAATGCGTATTACAGAAAATGAGTAGAAGATGTTTTCTTCTCTTTGGGGTTATCCACTCTTCTCACTTTGTTTTTCAATTTTTAAGCATGGAAAAATAGTGTAATCAAGTTTATTTGTCAAGAACTGAAGGGTTTTTTTTGCCATCAAGTCTTTTGGTCATGCTGTAGGATATTGCAGCTCACCCAAGGCCACACAGGCTGACTCTTCTCCCCAGAGGGACAGTGAGTAATCAAGCCTGAACCCTTGGCTTTGTGAACTATCCAGCCAACTGTTGCTATGTTTACATGTTCTGTTTCTTATGATTTTGAATTATCTTGATTCAAGCTTCTCACATTCCATGTTCCAATTATACGTGTTGTGCAGCATCAGACTTTACTTCTGAGCACACCAGTAGCTAAATGTCATTTTGGCTTGAATTCAAATGGTTCATTAGCAGCAGAGCTATTCATACTTTTCCTTTCCTCTGCCCAAGTACTTGACTGACTGACTGACTTCCCAAGGGGTGTATCATCTTCCAGTATAATGTCTGGTTTAATCTGAATTCCTCGTTGTAGAGTTTTTGATCTACAAATATTCAGAAATATGCGTAAGTTATTTCCCATAGCTTTCTTCAGTGCAACCGTAACAAGTTACTTTGAAGTCACTGTCATTGTCACTGAAATATTCTGGGAAATGTCACCTTCCACTACTGCTCCTGCCCAGTAGCTGCCCTTCACGTTGTGGAGACAATTTCATTAAGGCAACACTACCACACTGCAGGCGCAGGCTACATCCAGCCGTGGCCATTCTATGCATGCTTCCTGCGGGTGGAAAGACAGATCGCTGACTACGTTTCCTTCTGCTGAACCACCAGCGTGGGTGTTGAGTGTATGAGTGTGTTGGCAAAATCCAATTGCATAGTGGTATCTTTGGGAGGCAAATAGTTTAAGTCACAGTGACTTGTTGCTAGTAATTAATGACTCCCTATTCATATTTCCAGGCACATGCCAGTTTGGGTGTGTGCACTGGGCAGGGACTTGAAGCCTGTATAATCATTTGTAAAAGAACTAGGATTCTTTTATTCTTTGGCCAGGTATTTGCTGGCTCCCCCAGCATGTCAGTTATTTCTATAGGTCATTGAAGCTTATAGAGGCCTTTTTTGACATTGTTCTTGTAGGTTCCTTGTGCTGCCCTAGTCATGTACGTAAGTTTGTAAGTTAAGAGGAAAATGTCTGCTTCACAGAGTCTTGGATCTCACTTCACTACTGATTTAGAAAGTTGTGCAATAATGTTGATGCTTGATAATGTTCTCTTCATTTCCATTTCT